CTCGCCACTGGTGGTGGAATTCTGCAGAAGCTTATCTGAAAGAGCAGAAAAGACAAGAAGAGAAAGGAGACACGGAACTATTTTCGAATCAACAACTTGCAAATATGTGCTTTGATTTGTGGTTCGCAGGACTCACTACTACTCATACAACGTTGACTTGGACAGTGGCTTATGTCATGAATCATCCAGAAGTCCAGGAAAGAATCCACAAGGAGCTTGATAGAGTGATAAGAGATGATAAAAGATTGGTGACGACTGCTGATAAAAATGAGCTCCCGTTAATCAATGCAGTGATAAATGAGTCTCAACGATGTGTAAATTTGCTTCCTCTGAATCTATTCCATGCAACTACAAAAGACACGATAATCAATGGGTATCCAGTGAAGAAAGGAACTGGAGTGATTGCTCAGATTAGTACGGTTATGTTGGATGAAAAAGTGTTCCCAGATCCATATGCATTCAATACTGACAGATTTCTTGATGAAGAAGGGAAGCTGAAGAAGATAGACGAGCTCATTCCATTTTCAATCGGAAAACGGCAATGCCTAGGGGAAGGTCTTGCCAGAATGGAATTGTTCCTGTTCATTGCCAACTTTTTCAATCGATATCAGGTATTGGTTTTATATGGATGGATTTTGAAAGAAAAAAGTTCAGGTTTTGCCACCTGCTACTGGTCCACCATCTTTGGAGAAAGCTGAGAAAGTTGGAGTGTTCCCCAGGAAGTTTCATGCAGTTTTAAAACGAAGGAATGTTAAATGAAATGGTTTCTTGAATTTCCGATTTTACCCTTACTATAAAAATAAATGACTGGATGTTGACCTGTTTTGAAAACAATTTTTGAAAAATTTCATGAACATTTTGTTCTGTTATCCTAGGGTTGAGAAACCATGAATCATCGTTGAATTTGGTAACAAGATTGTTCATTTTTTCTGTAAGATCCAGAAAATTATTTTTTTGCAGACATCCTAATAACAGGAACTATAATTGTTTAAGAAAAATTGAATTGGTTTTCGGAAAAACAAGTCGTGGGACATTAGATTCCAGAGCAAGGCATGAACTTCGGTCTGGAAAATGTGTGAAAGAAAAAAAAACTTTTGAACAGGAAGTGATAACCTCTCCCTAATTCAATATGATAGACATAATTTCCTGGAAACACCACTCATCCAAAAAAAATCTGAAAAATGTTTGTCCATTGCTTGCATTTTGGGCAAACGGTGATCTAAACTCTAGTGACTTTTGACAGTAAAAAAATCATATTCTGACTCTTTCAATAAATAAATTGTCAACTTTGAAGCCTTGTTAACCGAATCGAGATAAGAAGAATTCAAAGAAGAAAATTTTCATGGAACAAATGGGAAAACAATGAACTTTCATCTACAATCTTAAAAAGCTACGACTTGGTTACTTTGGATTGATTTTTTAGCAACTATACTCCGACGATGACTGGATGTTTCAGCGATCTTCCCTTTTCTGAATATCAGAAGAGTTGAAACTACGAACGCCTCGATGGCACATCCAGTGACTTTGAAAACATCATTATAGGGTCCAACAAACTGAAAAATCAGGGTTCCTGTAATATATCAAAGTGTCTTACATCGAAAGAGAAGATTTTGGCATTGGGTCACATTGAAGGGCAAAAGGAAGGGAGGAAATCGAAAACTAACACGGTTACGGTATTCAGTAGTGCAAGACGGTTTGCCTGAAATTGTTTAATGTTGTAAATGATATTACTTTTTTGAATGTTACCTTTGATAGTTGATTATTCTTCTTATGCCTCAAATTGTTCCAAATAAATAGTTTGGTTGATAGCATTATTGATAATAACACTATAGCTGAGAATATCGCCTGAAAGCAAGTTTTTTGAAAAAATGAACCACAAAAACTAAGGAATACGTCTTTGTGAATTGTCCAAAAATAATAAAAGCACTGATTAATCGCGCAGCCAAAAACTCGACAACTTGGAGGAATGATCATGTCATAAGAGCATAAATTGAAGAAAACGAATTCTTCCGAGACTCCAAATGCGATACCTACTGCTAAAACAATCCAATTAGGAACTAGGTTTCTATAGGAGCGATATGTAATGGGAAAATATGCATCTATGACTCTTTCGGCAGATATGGAAAGGGCAATAATGGACCGGCAAGCGGCAAAATTTGACCAAAAAAGGGCAAGATAGACTATCAAAGGACGAAATTCGACCATAAATTGTGGAGCTTTAATGGAGAGCAGAATGAAGAGAATGAAGAAGAGTACTGAGATATACTGTATAGGAAAACTGAACATTTTACAAAACTTACGAGTTGCTCAAAAAATATGTCCAATGCAAACCGGTAGTAGAACAAATGCATGTCTGCGTTTCGCTTTGATTTGTTCCTGAAAATATATAACTGCATTTTGTAGTGTTTTTTTTTGTTTTCTACTGACATCACAACCTTTATGACTAAATTGATATTGAGCAATATCGTGACCAGTGCGCAAATAATTCCTAACAAGCATACAATGGTTATGAGATTGTCCATTTGTTCTGGAAGATTCAGAAAACGCTACGCAATCGCTAGAGTTATCACACAAAAATAATAAAGAGATTTCGTTGAATTTTCTTATTAATCGTTTTTTGTAGACATCTGAAGAACAGGAACTAGCTAATTAATGAAAATTGAATATGTTTTTTAGAGTGAAAACCAAACATCGTGTGAAATTCGATTTGTGAGCAAGGCGCGAATTTCGTCCTGGAAAATGTCTGGAAAAAACTTTTGAACAGGAAGTGATACTTGACTGATTAAGATAGAAATAAATTCTTGTTGGTTGAAAACACCAAAGTGATTATAAGGGAGAAGCAGGAATGCTCACAAAAAAGTCAACTTTTTTTCCACGATTTTCGTTGCTACTGAAACACAATTTTTGGAAAGCAAGATTCATTCAAATCGCAGAAAAAAAAAATCTGAATTCGAGAATTGTAGATGTATCTGAAAAGTTTGATTTATTTTTGGTCAACTTTGGAACCTTGTTTCCCGCCTGGTGATATACAGTGAGAAGAAAAGAAGAAATAAACGCGAATTTTTATTGACTCTCTTAAATAGTTAAGACTTGATTACTGTGTATACTGAGATTTTTAACAGCTACAGTCCGTCGACGACTAGAAGCTTCAGCGATTTTTTTGAATATTAAAAGAGTTGAAACTACTGTCGCTTCGATAGCACATCCAGTGACTTTGCCCACATAAGGACCGACATACTGAAAAGTTAGAATACAAGTTGCCCCAAAAAAATGTAAAATGCAAACCTGTAGTAAAACAAATGCATATCTGCATTTCGCTTTGATTTCTTCCTGAAACGGGGAAATGATTGTTATGAAGTTTTTTTTGTCTTCCACTAACATCACAATCCTTATCACTAAATTGAAATTGAGCAGTATCGTGGCCAATGCGCAAATGATGCCCAACAGGCACACAATGGTCATAAAAATGTCCATTCATTCTGGAACATACGAAACATATTTTTCTTTTCAGGAAGATTCGAAAAATGAATATTCAAGATATACAGAATTCAAGAATTCAATTCAGGATAATAGGATTCTGGATATATATGAAAGTGAGTCAATTCTCTTTTGCAACACATCAGGAAAAGAAATTTTTAGACTCATGAGAACAAAATCTAATCAAATCCGAAGAACCGGATCTAGCTAATTAACAAAAATTGAATATATTTTCGGAAAAATAATAACAAGTGGGTGAAATTCGATTACTCAGCAACGCACAAATTTCGATCTGGAAAATCCACAGGTAAAATGCGAACGGACCCGTTTCGGAGGCACAGCATTCACGCGCGGTTGAAATAAGAACCGCATACGGACCGCACGCTACCCGTTTGCAGAAAACCACAACGCATTATTCCCTCCGTATTCTATCCGTTCGCGAACTCCGTATCCGATCCGATTGCGAATGATGGAA